GGGCCGGGGAAGGTGGGGGGGACCTGTCGGCTTGCTGAGGGTGGGCAGCACGGTGGGAAGGTTTGGGTGCTCATCCTTCCTCTCCATCACCTGTCTCCTTGCTCTGGTTCCCATTTCAGGGAGTGACGGTGTAGTGGGATGCCCCATCCAGGGGAGCCAGCTCCTTCCCATGCATGGCCCTGCGTGGGCAGAAAGCCCTGCCCGAGGGGTTGACCACCCCCAGCCAGACCTCCGAGCCCTCCAAGCCAACCAGCAGCTCCACAGGAGGGAAAACGCAGCTCACAAAGTTGGTGAAGCCTGGCCAAGAGAGCGGGGGATCTCCCACCAGAGCTGGTCCCAGGTTGGTGTCCACGGGGTGACACCAGAGAGGATGCTCTATGGGGCCAGGCGAGTCCCTTGCCTGCGGTGACCCCCTTGGCAGGAGCTCTGGGATCCCTACAGATGCTCTGTTCCCATGTAGCTGCAACCTCACCCATTAGCTCTTGGGAGAAGACCTGGTGTTATGCCCCAGGGACTGCCCCGGCGGTATTTGGTGATGGGACGCGTGGGGTCATCCCCAGGGACCATCCTCGCCTGCCTGATGGAGGTGGGCACGGGCTCTGCCGGGGCGGGTTTGCTCTCCCTCATCCTGGTGGCCGCGCTGAGCAGCCCCTCGCTGCAGAAATCCCTGCCCGCAGCGTACAGAGACCACGAGGGCCCCCGGGGGGGCACGGGCCTGATCCAGTGCGGGGAGTACAGCAACCAGGTGCTGCCCAACGGCCGCTGTAAGATCGTGGCCACGCTGCCACAGGGGGACGAGCAGCGGTGCCCGGACATGTTTCGTTGCACCGATGAGGTGTCCTACTGGCTCCATGAGAACGAGGAGCGCAAGCAGCAGATCCTGGAGCAGCGGGAGCTGATTTCAGAGCTGCAGGAGGAGCTGAGGAACCACCGCCACCGCATCAAAGTCCTTGAGCTCCAGGTAAAGGGCTGCCCTTCGCAGACCCCCCCCGCTCCGCATGGGTGCTCACGGTCCCTCCCCGTGGTCCCAGCTCCCAGCCTTTGCTGGGGGACGACACCCGGTGAAGCATACGGTGATGTTCTGACCAGAGGCTGGGATAGCCATTAAACCCCAACCGCTCCTGCTGTGATGGCTCAGGAGCCTTCCAGAGCTGATCTTTCTTAAATTAGCCACAAACCCTTTAATGTTTTATCTGTGCTATCTCCTCCACCTTTGAGCCTGCGTAGGAGGGGTTGCTGATCCACCCCATTGCCCATAGCAGGATCCCAGACTAGACCTGGAATTTTGGGTGGCCAGTGAAGGACCACATCTCTGATGGCCACGGCTGAGCAGGAGAAGCCCTGACCTCCAGCCCGCGGCACCCTTAGTGGTGCTCATCCCACCCCAGCTCCATTCACCAGCCCCACAGCCTGAACCTTCACACTAATACACTTTTTTTTTTGGCATCTCCGAAGCTCTTGGATGCTTGGCACTGCCCGGTGGCTTTGCCTGGCAAACACTTGCCTTGGCTGTGGGCAGTGGCGAGCAGCAGCTTGCATGGGGCTGTAACTGGGAGCGGGGAGGGAGCGGGGTGGGTTTGCTGGCCGTTGGAGTCGTTTCCCAGTTAAGATGTCTCACTGGGCTCCTGATGAGATGCGCAGAAGAACCAGCAGCAATCTACTGGTGTCAGCTGGAAGAGCCCCGAGACTGCTGGGTGAACACCACCCTTCTCTGTGCTCCTGGGGGAGGTGAGGTCTATACGGTCCGGCTCTGGGGGTGATTTATTCTCTATTCAGCCTCCTTGCATCCTCACCCTTGGGCCCCTTGTTGGGAAAGCCTCCTTCGAGTGGCCCCATGGGGAGAGCGAGGCTGTGCCGGGGGCTGCGGGGCTCTTTGAGCACTGCCATGGCCAACTGTTGGGTGGGCGTCTGCGCCGTGGGTGTCTCCATGGGAGGAGATGTTCCTGGTGCGACGGAGGAAGGGAGGGAGGCACGTCAGTCAGGATGGGTGCTTGTGCTTGGGCAGACCCACTCCGTGCCCCCCACCCAGCGTCCCTTCTGCCTTCTCACCCCTTTTCCACCGCTCCTCTCCCATTTTCACCTTGCACTGGGGCAAGCTGGTGCAATAGGTCTTCAGTCTCCTGACTTCCCACATTCATCCCCTGCTGATGTTTTGTCCTTTAGGGCTGTTTAATCCATCCTTCCCCAATCCCAGCTCCCTACGCTGGCCCCAAAACATGCTTCAGTGCTGCAGCTCCTCCACCGACCTCTCCAGCTCAGAGCCAAGGAGGGACCTGGGTGGTAACGCA